CCTCCCACGCCCCTTTCTGCACGTCTGTGTCCTCTCAACGAGATAGAGACCATCTAGCTGCCTTCGCTGTTTGATACTTCTAACATTTGAAGCGCGAACTTCGGCATTAAATAACTGCTATCGTAATAAAATAACATCGCCCATTTGTCTTGCTTAGCAGAGGAGCAGAGAGCGGGCATAGTTCTCCCATTCCCTCCCCCCACTTCCTAACTACCCTAGCGCCGATATCAATTCAGAAATAGGTGGTAGAATAACTAATTCTGCACTTCCTTATCAAATGAACGAAAGACGTGTTTATCGAACCACCCAGAAGTTTTTATGAGTGCTAAACACTTTCTGGCCAATCACAAGATTCTGTCATTATTGGGAGGGAAAAGCTTCGCTGTAATCGCTCGCACTTCGGATATCAATCAATATAATCAGTAATCAACTTGTTTTGTACTTTGCTGTTTACTTGCCTTGATGAAAGGGCGATCGTTTGGGTTCGACTGGGAACCGGACTTCTTTGATTCTTTTCCGAATGGGAGCAGGATCTTACAAAAGTACGGCTGGTCTGAGGCTGACCCTTTGAGCAAACTCATCGAGGTAGATCCTCCGGGAAAAGGTTCCGCGGAGAATCAATGCCTAAAATGTCCATCAAAAGAGCTTTCGGGACTCATTCAACATTCTTTGGTCTTACTAACAAGTGAGAGGGCTGTTGTCTCCAAACGCTCGGATTGTGAACGAACAACTGCTGCACCTGAGTGTCCCAAAAAAACGGGTTCGCAGGGCCAGAGCTCGCTTTGCTCAAGGTTAGTTAGTCTGGTATCCCGACGGGATAACGCCTTGCTCAATCCTTCGACGACCAGTGACAATTTGCTGAGGAGATTCAGTCGGAAACCTTCCGATGGAGTCTGATGATGTGAGTTGTATGTATTACTCCGGTACTTGTGCAACTTCGCTTGCAATCCCCCGTAACGGATAGGCATTTTGTAGGTAAGGAGTACTAGATGAGGTATTCGAGTGAGCGAATCCGATCATGGTTTTCCCCTCCACTTTCCGCGAATGGCACGAAATGGTCACATGGCCTCAGGGTATGAAGCCGTTGTTTAGGTACACGCAGCGCATGAACCTTTTATCGAGAAGCCACGCCCTCTTCCTGTTCATCTCCGGGATATGGAGCATGAGGAAGATGATCGTCATGTTCCCTATCTCCGAGGAGGGAGAGGACCGTATCTGACTTGCTGTGAGAAGTTCACTCTAAGCTCAAAGTTCTATAGGATTCGTAAACTGGGAAACATGGGTGCCTACCGTTCTGGCACAGTTTATCCCTACTTGACAGGGTACACAATTCCCTCCTGGAAAATCAGTGGTTTCAAGTAGGTGGAGTTGGGTTTTCGGGTTGCTACTTATGGCAGCAGCGGAGGAAGCCCGTGCTGTGTGGCGGCTTCTCCTTATCTTACGAGGTATCCCTTCCTGTGAGGAAGCTGACACGCGGCGAAGTTACCCAAGGGCTGCTTTCAATCTTTACCTGGCTACAGGACGGCACCGATTCCACGGCTCCTTTTTGTTATTTCCATACCTCATAGGCACTTCATATTGCAGGAATGGGCAGGGCGTGGCTTCGTGATTCATCCAAACTTGACACAGCGTTTTTCGTGATATTTTTAAATTCGAGGCGACTGCTGTCTTGTACGCGTGGTTGCCGTTCCAAGAAGTCAATACTGAAGGCCGCACTGCCTCCACGCTCTGGGGAAGTGCGCAGCCAGGCCCTACCCATCTCCGGGATATGAAGCGAATCTTAATAATTTTCTGTGCCCACCGGCGTTCCCGGGACGTCATCGTTTCTCGCTGTTCATGACGAAACGCCCGCATTTCTCAATGGGTGATACATGCGTGACATTTCTAAACAGGCACGTAGTACACAGGGGATCCCCAGCGAGGTGGGGGGAGGGGCGTAATTGGTCGCTAGAGAGAGGAGTTGCAGTTGCCTCTGAGAAAAATGTTTTAGGTTGTTTTCTCGGTTTCTCCTTTTTAGGTGAATGAAGTACGAAGCCACCCCCTGCCCATTTCTGCCCGGTGGTAGTTTTAGGCGGAAAAGCTGAGAGTTCAGAATATGAAGATTGTTTTGGCTAGAAGAGAATGCGCGATGGAAGTGGTGGGCTGCGTACATAGAGGAAAACCTAGAGAGGAGGGGGGGGGGGGGTGGGTTGTATTTCGCGAAAATATCCAGAGGGGCCAGACGTGCCCTGTTTCTAGAATAGTGGCTTCATCGCTTAGGCTTCACGGGCCCATTTCATGTCATTCTCGTCAAAGAAAGTGGAAAGACCATTGGCCATCTAAGTTTGTCAAAGCATCTTATCGGTTTCTGCTGAGGGCTTCTAATACCACTGTCTCGAGGTCTCTCAATCTTCTTAACTGACTGTTTTCCACAGAAGGAACACCGTCAATAAGCACTCGCCGTTCGGCATAACAATCGCACGCGATAGCAAAATCGACTGCAGTTCAAATATGAATGAATGGCAACAAATTGTAGTTCGTTTGGAAGTAGTTGAGGTTAGGAACCCAGAACCTGAAGGGTCTGTGAAGGCCCCTTTAAGCCACGGAAGCCTGCTCGTTACCCAGCAGAGCTCCAAAAGTCACTTGTGGATGCTGAAGAGCAGCTGACTGGCTGAAAGTCTGAAATAAATGCACGTACATCATCAAAAAACCTTGCACTAATTTTCAGTGACAATCAATCGATAGTGGTGGCGAAGCGGGGTCATGAGACTTCAGAGAAGGTACCCAGGAGCTTGTCATCATCGTCGTCGGAAAGTTCGTTCTTCCAGTCCGCCTGCCCAGGACAAGATCCCTACGAGTTTTCCGTAATCGTTATTGACGAGTTCGTTCCCTGGCTTCATTCACGGTCTGCCCACTTGGGAAGAAAAAGCATTCGACTCGCTATCAGGAGGCATCCCCTTTCACGTCCAATCTGTTTACAGGGGCATGCCAATAGAGTACAGGTCCACAGGCCAGCAGGCAGGCAGCACCACAAGACCATCGTCTCTCTGCTTTTGTCGACTCGCTCCGTGTGAATCCACCGGCTTCCCACACCGCAGCTGAAAATGCGTTGGATGCCCGTACTGCGGCAGTTCATTGCACCTTCAATAAGGACTTTCTGTACTACAACCAAAGTAAGTGGTAGCTATTAGTGGCACTTTTGAGACCTACAGAAGTCATGAAGTGGGATGGGGCCATTTAAGGGTCGCTAACCATGCGCTTTCGTGGAAAGGGTCGCCAAGCATGCGCTTTCGTGGTTGGGTAGGTTTCTGGCCATAGGGGACTGGGTAAACCTATTGTTGAAGATGTCAAAACCCCATGCACCCGACAGATCAATCAATAAATCAGTGTTTTTCTAACTGTAGATTTTCCAGTGGGAAATACTATAATTCCAGAAGCATGTCCACAATGTTTAGCACAAATCAATGAATCAATACCAATCGATACGTATTTCAGAACACTGGCGCTGGCAACGCTTCGTTGCGACAGATCTCCGATGATGCTTTCTACGTTGTCAATGAAGTTGTAATGAAACGACTCGGCCATGTGCCGATCCATAAGGTTCGTTCTTTTGCGATCTGATATTGATCGGTATTGATTAGTACTAAGATGAGTAGTGGGTCCGAGATGTTAACCGAGAGGCGGTCCCGTGATCGCCGCGCTATTAATGAATTCATAAGCAACAATTGTTATGCTGATGATGCATCCGTCTAGCCTAGTTGAAAAAAATCGATAAAACTGAATTTTATTCCGAAATTGTGAGAATGGGGACCGATCAGGTATAGTGTGCAAAATTTATTACATACTTGTATAGATTACAAAATTCGAAATGTTACCGTTTTTGTCCGACAGCCACTTTCGTTGTGATGGATGGCAGACGTCAAAAAGAGCTCACGCAAAGAACCGGTTCTTTCAGCAAAGAATAGAGACCACGGTACCCCGTGCTACGGGGGAAAATGGTCTAAAAATGGCTAAAATGGTGGTGGGAGCGAGGTGCTGGATCAAGCTTGCAACTCCGCGTGTTCAAATTCCCGAAAGCTACTAGCCGTGGATGAGATTAAGTGCGGATTGATGCACCCATCCAATACATCGCCCTGACATACACAGAATATCGGACAGTTCTGTGTCGAGAAGTTGATCGAAACATAGATAACAAACTGAGTGTG